GTGCCTTTTAGGCCCGAAAGGTAGAAGAAGGATAATTTTGTATCAATTCGAATAGTTGAATGGTATTTTAGACCCTTTTCCATAAAATTATTAATAGCTCAAAGAAGCCTTGAGTGTTAAAGTTAGCGGTGACAAAATCAAACTCAATTCGCCCAATCCATTTAAGTTTAACACCCCTATTTATTAGCACAACTCATGTCAACCCAACTCATTATAAGCCGTCCAAATTTGATCCAATCCGTCCAATTGCCACCCCTAATTGCAGCAGACGACACACATATGATATAACTATTGTTTTTATTAGGAGAAAGAGGTCTTAGGGTTATATTTTCACATTTTTTAGCCCAACTAATCGAATAATCATTAACGAATATAGTATTTTGGTAAATGGATTGATTGATGGACTAATGGGTTGAGATACATCTAGCTCAATGGTAGAATTAAAATGAACAAATCAAATTTGAAATTTCACTAATTGGGTGGAAACATCCAAAGATAATGGCATTAGTCATATATAGTGCCAATAGACTATTGAGTAAACATAGAGAACTTGTAATGATGAAGTTGAGACATGTTTATTGTAATTGTATTGTGAATTATGAACTCTTGATGGACTAGAAAGAGCAAAGTTGAGCCAAGACATTGAGGTAAGTTAATGTTACTTTTAAGTCAAGGACCATATAATTAGAATATGCATACTAGTACCTGATATATTGTTGAAGTATATAATTCAAATTAAACTCACATAATTAAACATTTTGGTGACCACGTGAATTTCACTGATTAAGTGTACATTTGGGCCAAAGTAATGTTACAAATCTAGTCACTACTAAAGATGTCTATATATAAAGGATGAACTTCTCATTCGTGTTAAGCGCTTAGGAGTTAGTGTTAATTTTTATTAGGTATTTTGTAATTGTAGTCTGAAATTTCCCTTTTCTATTTTTCTTTTGTTCTTTGATCAGCTTGTAAGTTCCTATACAATCAATACAAACCCTAGTTTATTACAGGATGTCATATATATATATATGAAAATAAGTGAGAAGCTTAGCTCAGTGGAAAGAGGTTCAAGAAGTGCCTTTATGTTGTGGGTTTGAATCCCATGTGCAACAAGTCTTTTTTTTTTTGCTATGGAATTGGGCTCAACTTTTGGGCTTGGATCTTCTTCTCTTTTTATTTTTTCTCTTTTATGCTATTTCTTTTTTCTATATTATATATTCTTTACTAGGAACTCGGGTTTGAGAGAAGAGATATGGTTCCATGCACCATTGTTAAGTTGAAGCTTCAAGGTAGGTTTCAATTAAACTCAAAATTTTACGTTAAAATCTATTGAGTATCGCCCAACTTTGTTGTAAATAGTTTGTAGGACTGCAGTGCATTTAACACTCTTTCAAAATTGATTTTCATTAACAAGACATCATCGTATGTCACATGTATATCTTGTATATATATCCTGTGTAAGTCATTTTTTAATCTTGTGTATACCATGTGTATATATCATGCGTATATCTTGTATATATATATTCTGTGTATCTCTTGCGTATCTATATTATATACCTGACATATAAACATTGATATACAAGTGATACACATGGGAATGTTCTTATTCGACTGAAATTTCGACCCAATACAAATTTTGGAAGTAGAGTACTACTATAAGCTATTTTTAAATATAAGTTTTATTTTATATATGGATCCCAATTTTCTAACAATTTGCCTTGATAAAGTCTTTGCGGTTTGTATGTGATAATTTTAGCTGGTGACAGTACTATAGTCTATAGTATATCCTTTAGAAATGTGTATAATGGGTTGCATGTTCACAATTGAGGTATACCAAGCCCCTCTCTAATAGACCAAGAGGGAGGAACTTTAGAAAAATATTTTTGATTTTTTCAAATTTCAGAATATGTTTTGGTAATTTAAAATATATAGTGAATTACTCGTGTATAATATTGATTGTGTTTATGACATAATTGGACGGATTCATGGAAGAATTGATTTCCTATAGTTAGTTAATGAATAGGTCTTGTCTACTAGGAAAATATAATCAAAACGTGGGTTTATGTGTGAATTGGACGGATTGGATTAAAGCAAAAATATATGAACTTCATTTATATGTAAACTTCAGATAATATTTCTGTGTGAAAATTGATTTTGTCAATTCTAACTTTAAAAATCATGTATTTGAAGCGATGAATATATATTAAATAAGGATATAAAAATAGCCGGTCTCGTAAAATTTTGGAAAAATTACATAATTAAACATACTTCACTATTGAGAAAATGATCAAAATGGTCTTAATGTATAAGGGTTGAATAATATTGGTCCTTCATATATACTACCTTATTGAAATAGTCCTTAATGTATATAAAAAGATGATCATTTTGGTCCTAACCCTAAAACTAACCATAAAAGTTAAAAATTCTGTTAACTCCTTGAAATTAACATGTGAAAGTATCATTTCTCCCTCAATCTTCTTTCTTCTTCTTTTTTGGTCAGACTCGATCTTCTTTCTTCATCTATTCTTCTTTCTATTAACAAAACCCACTTTTACTCACAATTTTTTTTCAAATTTCATAAAGATATTTTTAATATTCTATTTTCTACCCTCGTTCATTCAAATTATTTGAACATTAGAACAAAACAAGTAAATACATTGAAAAATATTAATTTTTAAAAAGGGAGAATACCAATATTCTTCCCGTATAGAGCTTCCACATGAGAGAATAGTTGGTTAAAGCTTAAAATAGTTGACTTATGACAATCTCAGAGGAAGAATAAAGTATTTTATCTACTTTACTTAGTTCACATTTGTATTAATGGTCTCGTTTTTTTTACATTTTTGTATGGAAATGTGAGTTGCTGGAAATTTTGTTTAGCGGGAGATAAGAAATGGGTGTAATGTTATTTTTCTTGCAAGGATATTGCAGGTGGTGGATTGAGGATACAGAATGAGCTTTAATGGTGAAAGAAAGAAGATTGAGGGAGAAGGGCTAGTAGTCACCGGACCCGCAATTTAACAGAATTTTTAACTTTCATGGTTAGTTTTAGGGTTAAAGACCAAAATGATCTCTTTTAACATACATTAAGGACTATTTTAATGTGATAGTATATATGAAGGACCAAAATTATTCAACCCTTATACATCAAGTACCATTTTGATCATTTTCTCATCATATATACTACTATTATCTATACTTTGAAAATATTACGTATCTTACCATTAATTAAGAGTTTCCTACATATTTTACACTTAGATACATGTAATTTTTGCAATTAGATACACAAAAATAGTGAGAGAGGCGAGCGAGATTCGTATGTATCCCAGATACATGTGAATCACACTAGATACACACTACATACATGTATCTGTATGTCTCTAAAGTGATTCACATGTATATGAGATGCCAGATACATGGGAGAGTAGCGAGCGAGATGAGAGAGACGATGGAGGTGAACGAGATTTGCTATGTATCCCAGATACATGCTAATCCACTTGGATACAATGAATCTATAACAAATTACACCTAAATTTGACCCCATGTATATACATAATATTGCAAACTAGAGTGTATATAAGTAATTAGCTCCTAAACTAGTGAAATTTATGTAAGTTTCCCTAAAAAATTTACCTTGTTATTACCACGAGTTTAATAGGTCAGGTGGATGCTTGGACATATTAATTAGCTAGCCTAGTATACAATCATGGCAAATATGTCATGGTTTCAGGAGTCTATCTATCGCATATAGACAACATGGTGGCCTAACCATCTAGGTGAGGTAAGGATAAGACTTTTGACACAATTGGACAGTGGATTTACCCAATGGATATCATCCAATCAACACTCAAATTCAATTAAATCTAGTATCTACTTTTTAAACATTCCTGATAACATCTTACATTTAGTCATTTATTTATTTTTATATGTTTCTTAGTCCTCCTGCCTTTTTCTTTTTTTTTAATTTTTATATATAATATTTTGGGCAGATATGCGAAAATCAAATAATTGGTGGATTAAACAATAGAAAAATAGTTGGCAATGGAAGAAACAATGAGGTTCCTCCACCAAATCTGAACCAAATAATGTGAACAAATAAATCCTTAAAAAAAGGCCATTTTACATTTTTACAAAGTGGATAAAATTCCTCCGTTCTTAACTTAGAGATTTCAAATTCAAGTCTTTGTAATATAGAAATTCTGAATAGGGAGTAATTCCTTATAAAAAAAAAAGGCCATTTTACATTTTTACTAAGTTCTATCTAATAAATCTCACAATTGTGATAACTTGGTAAGCAACGGATTCATTCTCATGCATATTAAACTCCTTTCTTAATATCACATGGATAAAATTCCTCCGTCCTTAGCTCGAGATTTCAAGTTCAATTCTTTGTAATATAAAGATTCTGAATAGAGAGTAATTCCATTCAAATAGAATTTACTCCCCATGAATCTAAATCAATCATCAATTATGAAACTCTTATTTAATCACATGAATTTGTGGCCCTCCACTAAAGCACCTCACATTATTTCCTTTTTAATATTGGTTTTAACTCCAAAACTAGAATAAATAACAATAATTGCTACTATCCACTAATTTTAAATAAATTAACTTTATTATCATTATTGTCGTTATTTTGATGAAGGTAGACATCAAACAACTTGTGACTTTGAAAGTTCAACTTGAAGCCACTCAAATTATGACAGAAAATGTTGGCTTAGTATCACTTATTATTATTATTACTCCCTCTGTCCCATTTTATATGACTCACTTTCCTTTTTAGTCAGTCCCAAAAAGAATGACACATTTCCATATTAAGTAACAATTTAACTATGAAATGCCTATTTTACCCTTAATGAAATGATTTACAGCCACACAAATTTCTATCATTCATTTTGGACCACAAGTTTTAAAAGTCTTCCTTTCTTTCTTAAACTCCGTGCCGAGTCAAACTACCTCATATAAAATGGGACAGAGGGAGTATTATTTATTGAAAAGATTGATTATTGAATTAGCTGTCTTTTCCCCTGTTCCAATTTCTACTTGTTAATGAATTATTCAATGGATTTTTCTTTCGATGTGATTTGAAAGTCAATATATCTAGTTTTTATTTCAGAAAATTTTTTGTTACAACCTCTGTTCTTCTCAACCTTTGAGAACTTATAAATCTTTCATTATTCTCGAGTGTGCACATTTTCTTGATTTGTTATCTTCTTCCGCGATATGGAGGAGAGACAATTGTTGTTTGAGAAGTATGAAATTGGGACATTATTAGGCAAAGGAACTTTTGCGAAAGTGTACTATGGTAAGGAACTCGAAACAGGGGAAAGTGTAGCCATTAAAGTGATAAAAAAAGATCAAGTTCAGAAAGAAGGAATGATGGAGCAAATCACAAGAGAAATCTCTGTGATGGGCCTTGTTCGTCATCCCAATATTGTTGAACTCAAAGAAGTCATGGCTACGAAATCTAAAATCTTCTTTATAATGGAGTATGTTAAAGGGGGTGAGCTTTTCGCCAAATTAGTATCCAAAGGCAAATTTAAAGAAGATACAGCAAGAAAGTACTTTCAACAATTGATAAGTGCTGTTGATTACTGTCATAGTCGAGGTGTTTATCATCGCGATTTGAAGCCTGAGAACCTACTCCTTGATGAGAATGAGGACTTGAAGATATCTGATTTTGGGTTATCGGCTTTGCCTGATGAGCAGTTGAGTAGAAATGATGGTTTGCTTCATACACAGTGTGGGACACCAGCATATGTTGCTCCTGAGGTTTTAAGGAGGAAAGGTTATGATGGTGCAAAAGCTGATATTTGGTCATGTGGTGTAATTTTGTATGTGCTTCTAGCTGGTTACCTTCCATTTCAAGATGAGAATGTGATGAACATGTACAAGAAGATTTTCAAGGCGTATTTCGAGTTCCCTCCTTGGTTTTCAATGGATTCGAGGCGTTTGATATCTAAACTTTTAATGGCTGATCCGGACAGGAGGATCACTATTCAAGGTATCATGAGGGTTCCATGGTATAGGAAGGATTTCGCGATGCCACGGGCGTTTTCAATCCAAGATTTTCAAAAGTTAGAAAAGGAACAAGAAAATGATCATGTTGAAGAAGGAATGAGCAGCAAACAAGGAGGGATGATTAGGAAATCCCCTTCATCCCCTGCATTTTTCAATGCATTCGAGTTGATTTCATCGATGTCTTCTGGTTTCGACTTGTCTAGCTTGTTTGAGATCAAAGGGAAGGCATCATCCATGTTCACTTCAAGGAGCACTGCCCGGGATGTCATCCGTAAAATGGAGAAAATGGCTAAAGTTATGAGGTATAAGGTTTATAGGGTAAAACCATTCAAGTTGAAGATGCAATGCCCCGAGGAAGGACGAAAAGGGCGGTTGTTGGTCACCGCTGAGGTGTTTAAGGTGGCCCCGGAAGTCACCGTGGTCGAGCTCTCCAAGTCCTCCGGCGACACGTTGGAGTATAACAAGTTTTGTGAAGAGGAAGTTAGGCCTGCATTGAAGGACATTGTTTGGACATGGCAAGGGACTGGTACTGGAAATGCTGATATTGATAACAAACAGGACTTGGAGCAATAAAAATTTGGTACATGTGCATTTTTCTCCCTCTTCTTTTGTGTTTGTGTTTCGCTCCCCCTGATCGGCTGATAGAAATAAATCAACGATCGGAGATATTCGTGTTACTTTGTCAATATTGATTTGTACATAAATTGTGTGTTATACTGACCACTTTGGGATTTGTATTGTTTGTATGTTGTGATTCACTTAATTTCCTCTAGTCATTCAAGCACAATTAATCCAAGCTTGTAGGGGATCTTGTTCAAAAGGATATATTTCACCTCCCGGCTCCCTTTATCTATTTGTAAGTTGCAAGTTGATGTTGCAACATGGACATTTTGTTCAGATTTGATATTAAAAGTACTTTGAGAACTTGAAAAGATTTTTAATTAGATTTTAAAATCAATTTCATGTTCAATAAATTATCAAAATCTATTCAATCTATGATCAATAACTTGAAAATTTTATATTTAAATTTACATTAGTTAAATATTTTGGCTCTCGTACATCAAATCGTATCACATAAAATGAGATTGAGAAAGTATTTAAAACAGTTACCTATAACACAGTTGAACTTGAAGTCCATGTGAAGAAGTAGCATGAAGCAAAATGTAAACAGAGATGAATATTGTGTAGAGAGAATAAAAATTAAAATATCTTTTTTCCTACTAAAAAGGAAGAAGAAGAAAATATCTGATTTTTGTATTGAAAAAAACTAAAGTGATAATATAGCTACTTGATACATCTATGATATCTTCTTCCAACCAACTGCTTAACCACTTGCTTAGCTGACTAACCATCTTACTCACTTAACTAATTATGGGGTTTTGGTATGAAGAAAAATAAATTCATGGAAAATAAATGATTTTATTATTTATTTTTGGTGTTTGATACTTAAGTTCAAAATCACATTTCAAAAGTATTTATATGTAATATTATAATCACTAAAGGATGTGGTGAAGCGGATGAAACTGTTTTTTCCATAATCGGAAGCCTCAGTTTCGAATTTTGGGTATGAAAAAATTCTTGATGGAAAACTTTTTTCTTGAACGGATCCTATGCAATGTCAGTTTGAATTAGTCGAGATCCAATGCATATACCGAAAAAAATCAAAATAAAATTTGATATATTATAGAAGAAAAACTACTAGGATAGAATGTGGGGAAAGGGAGTTTGAGGGTGGCGGGAGGTGGAATGGTCAAGGAATAAGGGTTTGGAGCTTTTGGTGGTGGGGAGAAGACAATGATTTTCAATGTCATTATGCCATTTATGAAATTTATTTTTTTATAGTTTTACTAGGAAAATCATCGTTCTCATCTGTATACGGTAAAGAAATTTATTTTTTAGAAAAAATATTTCACCAATCAAAAATAAAAAATTGAAAAATATTTACCAAACACAACCTAATCAAACCTTATAGAACTTCACAACTTTTATACTCACTCCTTCTCCCTCTATTGCAATTTATATAGCCCTACGACTTGGCTTTGCTATCGCATCCGCGTAGAGGTTCTCCTATTTGGGATTTTGAAGTGAGCGAGTTTTCTATTTCATATTTCGGCCATTTTATCGGTAGGGCGATTTTCCTTCGTTTAAAAAATAATTATATAATATTTTATTTGATAAATATTTAATGATATTATCAATACTTTACTCATATTAAATTTCAACCCCAATCACATAAATTGATACTAAGAAAATAACATTAAGTACAAGTAGTTCCATATTTCAACAGGGAGTTCCCACACCCCACATGACTCCATCCACAAAAAAAAAAATGTGGGTTCAACTATTTATTAAATTAAGCAACATCTCATTTTCCATGACAATATGACACCTTGTATTCAAAGAATATTTAATTAAGGATGCCACCTCTCATTTAGCTGGTCAATTTAATCAGCACCTAAATTTGTTTGGCTGAGTTTTAGCTGCCACACCAACTCAAGGAAAAAAAACAAAAAAGACCTCCAATTGGAACCAATTTATTGGTTACAAAGAATATGATTTTTTTTTAATTCTATTATTTTGCTAATTTTCGAAGCTAATGAGATTGCTTATGTCTTTGGAGTTTGGTGGAGCTAGTTGATTAGTTATATGAGAAAATATAGGCAACTTTGAACTTCAATAAACTCTTACTTTTATATATTTGTAGTAAATAACGATCATCTAAACTACTACCAAACTAGAAAATATAATTACTTTTTTTAATTTGAAAATTTGTTTTTAGTTATGAAGATTTCAAATTTAACTTGAAGTTATACTTAAATTTGAAAAATACATATAAGCATAAATATTGTTCTAAATATTTTTTGCTATTATCAGACACAATTTTATCTTTAACTTCAACTCGATAAATTCCAAATAGAATGAAAATTCTATAAAATCTATGGCGCCCAAACCCTCCTAAAATATTCTATCTTGTATTTGATTAAATTTATAATTATGTCACTGCTGGTCAAGAGTGTCTACATGAGAGCATAATCTTAATTTTTTTTATATGGGCTTGAGCACTTGTATATTCTTATTAATCAACTATTTTGATAGGGGATTTTCTCTTCTTTTTTCCTTTACACATGATGATATGAGAGCATACACAACATAGGCAGAAGATTATATTAATGATATAATGCAAACACATCTAACCTGAAAATTCAACCTCATAACACTATTGCAAAATGTAAATATAAAATAATATTATGGAACTACACAATATTGAAGATCAAATAAAAATTCATATAGAATCTCCACTAATTTACAATAGCTTGCTTTACAGGGCTATCAAATACTAGAAGACTAGTCTATTTTAAGAACTTCACTTTCCGGGAACAAAGTTTGTGGCAAAAGCCCATGCGTTGTTGTTAACTGGATCAGCAAGGTGATCTGCAAGATTTTCCAATGGGCCTTTTCCGGTGACAATAGCTTGAACGAAGAATCCAAACATGGAGAACATAGCAAGTCTACCATTCTTGATTTCTTTTACTTTGAGTTCCGCAAAAGCCTCTGGATCATCAGCAAGGCCCAATGGGTCGAAGCTACCACCAGGATAAAGTGGGTCAACAACTTCACCAAGAGGCCCACCAGCAATACGGTAACCCTCAACGGCTCCCATCAACACAACTTGACAAGCCCAAATGGCCAAGATACTTTGTGCATGGACCAAACTTGGGTTTCCCAAGTAATCAAGTCCACCTTCACTGAAAATTTGGGATCCAGCTTTGAACCAAACAGCCTCACCAAACTTTACACCGTTACGGGCCAAAAGCTCAGGAAAGACACAGCCAAGAGCTCCAAGCATGGCCCATCTACAATGGATCACCTCCAACTCACGGTTCTTGGCAAAAGTTTCTGGATTGCCCAAGTAGTCAAGTCCACCCTCACTGAAAATTTGGGATCCAGCCTTGAACCATACAGCTTCGCCAAACTTGACACCGTTACGGGCCAAAAGCTCAGGAAAGACACAGCCAAGAGCTCCAAGCATGGCCCATCTACAATGGATCACCTCCAACTCACGGTTCTTGGCAAAAGTTTCTGGATCAGCTGAAAGTCCAGCAGTGTCCCATCCGTAGTCACCAGGAAACTCACCAGTCAAGTAGCTTGGGGCTTCACCAGAGAATGGGCCCAAATACTTGACACGGTCAGGACCATACCATGGACTACCAGAAGAGACAGGCTTGGCCTTGGTGGCAGTCTTCCTCATGGTGAATCTTCCATTTCCGGTGATTTCAGAAGAAGACGGTGAGAGTTTTACTGCCTTTCCGGCAAATGTAGATGAAGAAAGAGCCATTGTAGCTGCAGCCATGGTAGAAGTAGAATGAGAACTCTTGAAAGCACTTTCTACACAAAAAAATAAGAGAAGAGTTGATTTGAGGCTTGAGTTTTATGGGCCTTGCACCAAACTGTATATAAAGGCCCAATATCCTTATCCTTGAATATCTATATCTGCTTTCTCATTGGTGGATTCCAATTTGTATCCTCTTGCATTCTTGTTCATTTTAGATACTTAATATGTTCAAAAAAATCTAACTCAATGTTGATTTCCTCTCTTACAGCCAATACATAGTTGCCACGTGTGATTGTGGATTATTGCAATATAATATCAACTTGACCAAAAACATAAGAGTAATTCATGGCCATGCAATAGTTCACACACTTGTGTAAAATAGGACCACTTGTATGAGTGGCAAATTGGCAATGAGACAAAATAAGACATTAATAAAAAATAATTGGAATTAAGAAATGCAAGTCCAAGGCTCCCAACAGCTAATTAGCTTCCGTGATAAATAATTGAACGTTTGATATTACAAGTCCAACAACTCATACATACAAGACACCTCTTCCAACCACCATATATGTTGTATCTTACTGTATATGATGTTTATTTGGTGTATACTGTTATATGTCTTATGTATAACTGGATATACAGTGACATACACACAAAATACAAAATACATACATATGACATTCAATGTATATTATGTGCATGCCAACGTATTTTTTCTACCCCTCCCTTATGAGCTTCCACCTTTGGTCCCTTGGTGACTCGAACTCACGACCTTAAATCATGTTCGTATTTTTAAAATGGTGAAAATAACAAGGAACAATGAGATAGATGAGAGACCAAATGTCTTGAATGATACAATTATGAACAAGAAGTTCAATCTGAGTTCCTTTATCATCTAAAGAAATTGAGAATTTGAATTGTTTTGGACCATTTATTGGAATTAGAAAGCTTTGCTATCTCAATTATTGTTTACACCATCAACAACTCCATTAGATTGAAATAGTTGAATAGATGCGATTGATATTTTTCTTCAACTTTATTATGGGCTTATGAATTTTTGATCTTGTAGTTGTAACAGTTTTATGTGAGAAGAAAAAAAATTCTAATTTTATGGGATTTGTTGGAGGTTGAATATATTTGGCTTAAGTTGTCCACGTAATTTATTTAGCCTTATTTGTTTGCGCTTAATAAAACTCTTTATCTTAATTATTCAGATCTCGTTATTAAGTCTTGTTTGTTTTCAAGATGTGTATATTAAGATTTAGATCTTAATCATCAAGTGTGTTTTTATTTATTTATTTGTAACCATTTAATGGGTCTGAATGATTAAGATCTGTAACAAAGTTTTAATATCATTTATATATCTATTGATTATTTTATTTTTTACAAAAAATGACAGTTCACCGCTACTATATCTACTTTCAGCCACCACCGAGAATAACCAAGTCAACCACAACTATCACCACCGACTATTGTCAACCATCACCACCTACCATCCACAACCATCATCCACAGCCCAACCATCACTACCGTCAATCACCAAATCAATCGTCATCACTATATTAGCCATTATTTGCAATCATGATCACCACCAACAATTATTACATCAACTAATAACTATTGATAATTACCATCACTAATCATTATTATATATTGCTAACCAGCATCATCATTCACCATGGTCATTAGTTATCAATATCATTTCATTACTATTTATCAGTCAACACCATCAACAACCACGGTTAATCACTACTGTTATCAATATATCATAGATACTACCCACAACCACCATCATCATTCAACACCATTCCAAATCGACGCATAAAATCATCGTTATCAGTCATCATCAATCAATACCATCCCAAATCGACGCATAATCACTTATATAGATATTTGGTTTGATCATACAAAATAATATGGTGATAAAAGGAGAATAGAAATTCCAATATGTCAAACCTCAATTTTTTTGAAAGAATAATTAAACCAAACTAAGAAAGAGCGAAAAAAGGTACCCCAAACTTAATTCTAAAATTAATAAAATTTATAAGGTAGATGTGGAATTTGAATAGTCAATTTCACTCGTAGGACACTTAAAACCTTGATGCGCACACATATATTGAAGTAGCTTTGTAAAATTAAGATATGACTATACATGATTTAGGGAAAAAGCATGAGTTCACATAAATTCATACTCCTCCACCTAAAAATGCATGTTCATCATGTCGTCAACGTGGTTGTTATGAAATGGAGAAAGAGCCTTTTTCGTTTTTATAAATGTTGAGGTGAGTTACAAAGAATTTGCTGGCTAGCTCATTCAATCAAGGAAAAATGTCATGATTTTTTGTTTGCAAAATGAAAAAGAACACAATCTTAGTAAAATTAACATCATGTGTTCATTTCACAACTTGAACAAAACACGTTTATTTTATAATGATTTTATCTACAGATTTATTGTGTTATTTTTCTAGCATTATTATAATAAAAGTTCACATTACTAACATTTAAATCCTAGGAAAACGTCACTATACGTACGTCATCCTTTTATTACGTGACTTAAGTTCATTAAACTTATTTCAAAATGACTCTAGAAATATCAAAGACTTTATTAGGTAGCCACAAAAGACAACTAATAATTGGAAAACAAAGGACATTAGCTCAAAGGTTATACCGCGTATGATTTTCCTTTTTTAAAATATCATGTAAGACTCATGTTTAAGTAAAAAAAAGTGACAAATCTTGTTCAACTACTATGACTTTGTCCTTCTGTTGAGCTGTAATATGAGTGGACTAATCATGTTACACTCTCCATTAAAGTCTATATAGGATTTTTTTTATTAATTAAAAGCGGACTTCATCAAATTAGATCTTGAGCTTAATTCGTACTTTATATGAAATCATTTTCATCAATATCCCCTCTCATACCCTAGATCCAGAATTTGGGGTGTATTGTTCGGATCTCAGCTTCAAAAGTCTTTATTCAGTGGTGTATTGTCCAGTTCAAAATGTGATATTCTAGTATCGAGAGTATATTTACAATTTCTTAGCTTCAGAATTCTTTATTTGGGAACGTATTGTTCAGTTCAGAGTGTGATATTCTAGTATCGAGAGTATATTCACAATTTCTCATATAATTTGGGGACCCACATTGAACACCTTATGGAGACTCTGATACTATCAGAATTAGTTTTTGGGCCTAACTTACATCTCACAAGCTATTTCAAAGGTAGGATGATTGTCCAGACCTTGTAAGGAGCCCAGGAGTTTCATCTCGGTTCAATATGGGATCATTCTTATCAACACCTTTCCCTCAGCTCAAACCCGGACATTCTTTATCCGTGGTTCACTGTTCGGTCCAAAGCGTGACATTCAAGGATTGACAGTATATTCACAACCCCTTTGACGGTCTAAGAATTCCACAACTGACCCCATAGATCTGGCTTTCATACCATGTCTAATTAAATTTTTGCTTAATTTATATCTCAAAAGCTAACTCAATGAAAAAAAGATTATCCAAATCTTATAAGGAATTCAAAATTCTCGTCCCCGTCTGACAGGGGGATCATTCTCATCAACAGACTTTGTGTAGATTATTTTGGATGTTTTTATGTCTTTCTTACTTTAATCTAGCGGCCAAAGTCATCTGCGGCCCCTCAAAGTTGTCCTCATTATTCATTTAGACACCTCAACTACACCTAGTACCTATTGAACACCTCTACCACCCCAGATTTGAACCGTCTAAGCATTTTTTGCCTACATGGCAAATCGTTTGTGAGTCACGCAAATGGGGCTCGTGAATTAATTTTTCTCCAATATTTTAACGTTAAAAGATTTATCTTTAAAAAAATAAATTAAATTAGCATCTCTTCTTCTTCTTCTTTGACTCAACCACCATTGCAACCACCTTCTCACCACCGCAATCACCGGTGTCCCACCATTAAATTTCATTCCCCTTCTTTCTCGAGCTGCAATCATTCTTCTTCTCCACGCCACCTTGTTTTTTAATTAGATCTGCCGTTACCATATCCACACTTCTCCTTTCCTTTCTTTCTCCGATCATCTTCTTTTCCTATTTTTTCAGGCCATCATCGTCTTTTTCCTTTTTAACCAGCCATTAACCCACCTCCCACCATTGGCACGACCTCATTTTTCTCCAAATCTATTGTTGTCAATATCTTTCTTTTTAGCCTTTCAAACAATCAATCACAAATTTTAATTTGTTCATCGAAAAACACTGCCACCACACATCTCTTTCTTTCTGCCAAATCAACTCAAACATGAATCGAATCTAAGCTTGAAAACAAAAATAAATTAAAAAAAGAAGTAGAAAAATTTAGGAGATTTAAGCTTTTTTTTAAAAAAGGGAAGAAGATGAAGTGGGGGGAGTGGGCAGGTCGGAGGCGGCAACATACATAGTTTAGGATTTTAGTTTATTTTTTTAATTATAATTATTTTGGAGCCCAAAAGACACATGGCTTCTTTAAGACACGTGGCTTCTTTTAATTAGTTAGTTTGCCATGTCATGGCAAGTGCATCACACACTCTTGACGTTTTTTTGCTGATTATCAAAATGTGTCTAATAGGAACAATTTTTGTATAGGTAAAAGTGTTCAATAGGTAAAAGGTTGAATTGGAGTGTCTAAGTGAAATATGCGGACAACTTTAAGGGGCTGTAGATGACTTTGGCCTTAATCTAGCTCTAATTAATTGAAATAATATACATCATGAAATATTTTTAGAATATCCTATAAGATATCCTAAGCTCAAATAGTTTTATACTAGCTAGTAGCTAGGAGTGGTAGTTAATTATTGTCAATTTACTAGCTAGTTCCATTTGATTTGCTACTCTAATTTATTATATTGTCAATTAAAATCTAGAATAGTTTAACAACTTTTTTCTAATACACGAGAAAAGACTTTGAAGAAAACAAGGAAAAGTCATCAGAAAAGGGTGCAAAAATATCATGGTAACATTTACGTCATTTAAGTGATGCAAGAGATGAACGTCACCTCTACTTGCTGTCAAAATGAGTTCACAATCAAAATGAAGTCTTTTTCCACGAAAGAACCTAATATATTAGATTTAATTACAAGGTATTAAAAGAATG